CTAAAAGCAGCTGATTGTCGGTGGATGGCAAGTGTGAACAGCACGCCTCATTCATAAACTCCTCATTCAACTAGACTTAACAGCTTCCACATTAGCAAAATTGACAAGGATGAGAATGGAGTGTGCAGGATCTTTGGAGAGTCTAGTCAAACCTCCACACTGTACGAACTGAGACCTGGGGCAGGCTGAGTGATGGGCCTGTGGCTGTGACATCCAGGACAGCTCACTTCTGTCTCTACCCCCTCCCCTCACTACCTAAGGCAAACTGCTGCAGTGTGGGTCAGCAACAGGGGTCCCGCGGGGATGGTGCTCTACCCAATTCTCTCAACGTGCCAGGCGTTACAGAGAATCCCCACCCCACCCCACCCCCAAGAAGTTCCCAAGGGGCCAGACCACCTTATATCCTCAGAAGTCAACGGTGAGGCTGGAAAATCCTTCTCCGCTTCTCCAAGACCTCATACTTCTAAGTCTTGATTAAGAGTTGCTGTCTCTGGGGAGCACTCCCTGATCCCTGAGTTCCCTGAGCACCTTCCTCTGTGCTCCAGTTGCACACTGCTGAGGACTCACTTCATTGTTTGTTCTTGCATCTGATGGTCAGTGTCTTTACTAGCTGGTTAGTTGTCTCCTACCCTCAGAGGGTGACGAGTCAAGAGACATTTTCACGTTCACCACTGTATGCCTACTGCTTAGAACAGTGCCTGGCACATAGTAGGTTTGAAAGGGTCTGTGGGGAGAATGAGTGAATCCTGCTATGCGGTAGTAGTGCCTGAATTTCTACTCAGGAGGCAGGCAGGGGTGGCAATATCCTTGGGAGGGGATGGAGACTTACACAGCAACCTCTTGGCTTTTACTGCCAATAGCAGATACAATATAAATGTGGGCGTTGATAAAAGATCTGGGGGCAGTTAAAGCACTCCGTAGCACTTCTCTGGGACTCCCAAGTTGTGCTGGTTTGGTTGTTTACATGTCTGGCTTCCAGCTCGATAATAAGCTCCTGAAGAGTGGGTCTTACTCATCCCTATACCCTCCCAGCCTCCATCAAGGCCTTGTACCCATAGCGGCAGAAGAAACACATGAGTAAGTGAACGAATAAATAGTAAAACCTCTCCTGAGACTGGCCTGTCTGCTGTGGTCAACTGATGTCAGGAGCCAAAGTAAGTGCTCAGTTCAGTTTAAAACCAAGAACAAAGCTTTGGGGTCAGGGCCAGCCAAGACTTGAGAGCCAGACTTGGGAAGCTCCAGCGCAGCAGGAGAAGCCAGAAAACAGAGCCGGAAAGAGATAAGGCCATCCTGATAGATGCTTTCCTCGTAAAAGAGGTTCAAGTACACACTGGATGAACTTCTGAGTTTCCTGTTTTTAAAACTTCCTTATGATGAAGTTGGAGCTGGACACCATTCCTTTTAGCAGGGGGGTTTACGCTTGTCTGGAATAATCAGGCGCCTGTGGCTCAGTCCACGTGCATAAGCACAACAGAAAAATGGCGACCAGAAACCACAAAGTCAACGGACTAAGGTGGCTGGAGTACTGGGTTCTGGAGCTGCTGGTTCTGCTGGGCATCCACCCCTGTGCCCGAGGGGCCCCAGCTATGAAGCAAGGAGGCCAGGCCACGTCATCTCTGAAATCCTTCCCACCCCTGCAATGCTAGGATTTGTGTCCCAGTCACACCGAGAACTCCAGCAGAAAGGTATTAGTTAATACAGGCATAACTAAAGTACTGTAAAGTATGTATGTATATAATTTACCAGTATAAATACTTTCATTACTTGAGTATAGTGATTTCCCAATACTTAATAAAAACAATCCTAAGTGGCAGTTATTCATGAATAGGATGTCTACTCATCAAAAAATTTACAAAGCAGAACTGCTTCTTCATCCTGCTGCTAAATTACAGTATTTTGAATGGTGTTCGTAGTTTCTTGTGTGAGTTCTTAAGCAGAATATGCTACAGAAACAGGCATATTCTTTTTTCTGTCAGGCATTACAAAGGACCCGGTGTTTTTTTGTTACAGAAAATTAACCTTACTGCACCTTGGTTTCCTCATTTGTAAAGTTTGAAGGAGGAGAGTTTATTCATGTCAAAGATCTAAAGTTTATGCCCTGTGATCCCCCTAAACACACTTTGCTGCTTCCTCTGGGGCAAGCAGCAGGAGAGCTGCGCGAGCCGGCCACCCTGTGCCATCGCCCCTGTAACACACGGGGCCCTCCCAGCGGGAGTCAAGGAGACCCAGGCAGCGACGGCCACCCCTCTCCCCGCACCCTGGTGGCCAGCTAGCATTTCCTCCAGGTGTCAAAGATGGGGAGGACCACGCATTTCTAATAAGGATATCAAACAAAGATAGTCCGGGTGATCTCTTCCTGGGCAGTTTAAGTTAAAATGTGTTCCCATGAGCTCCGCGTAAAATGCAGTGATCTTCAAAGTTAACGACACCGGTAGTAACTTGCAATCCCCATCCTACAGAGGAACAAAAGCAGAGGCTCACAGAGGCGAGTGATTCGCCCGAGCAGAAAACTACAAGTCTCACAAGTTCTCCTCAGCGATCCCCACATTGCGTTTACTTAAGAAATTTGGGGTCCTTGGGGCGCCTGGGTGGCTCAGTCGTTAAGCAACTGCCTTTGGCTCAGGTCTTGATCCCGGGGTCCTGGGATAGAGCCCCGCGTTGGGCTCCCTGCTCTGCGGGAAGCCTGCTTCTCTCTCTCCCACTCCCCCTGCTTGTGTTCCCGCTCTCGCTGTGTCTCTCTCTGTTAAATAAATAAAATCTTAAGAAAAGAAAAAAAAGAAATTTGGGGTCCTTGACAAGTTGGCCCCATCTACCTCTGTGCGAGGTGCTGTGCTGGACCTCGTATAGTCAGTCACCCTGTGAGTCTTAGTTCACCTCTGCGAGGCAGTTATCATAAAAGCTCCATTTCACAGATGGCTTTGGATATGGAACTTGTTTTGCCTATTGGCCAGAGTGAGTCATGGAAAGTCCCAGGGCTGGACAGACTTGTGTTCAAATTCCCATTCTGGTCCAAAGCTGATGTTTGAGACCATAACTCTTGAGGATCAGTGGTCCTATCTATAAAATGGGGATAAGTACTTGGGTACCATAGTAGGGGGCCCCAGAACTTGGAAATAAAGGCACCATTCCAGAATGAAACAAACATGAACAGTTCTCAGACAAAAGCACAGAGAAGTCAGATTACGTTACAGAAACCGAATGAGTTCTCAGCCAGGAAGAGTTGGCAGTCACCTGACCGAACATCTTTAGCCTTAATTAAAAGTGGTAATTAGTTGTATGTGAAATTTTAACACGTCCCCCCTTCTTGGTTTTAAGTTCCAGGAGACAGGAACCAGGCCCATCTTTATCCCAGCACCTAGTCACATAAAAGGACTCAATAAATGAATAAATGGACCATGGCCAAAGGAAGAATACATCAATCAGAAAGGTCAGCAAGGGAAGCCCAGAAAAATAGAAAAATAAGGCCAACCCCACAGTGGCCATCCAAGCTGGCCATGAGAGGACATACTTGCACACAGCCTTCCATGGCTGATTCAGATCTCCCTGGAAATGTGCTCACAGGCTGGTCACACTGAAATAATCTGGGCCCTGGGGCGATTATTTGTGTAAGATTAATGAACCGGCCTTCTGGGTCACGCAGAGGTCTGTGAGCTGGTACCACCTAGTGTCCACAGGGAATAAGCCTGCTCTCAGGTGCAGCCAATCCTGGGACCACAGCAGGTTGGTAAGGTCACGCAAGCCTCCTCATGAGGTCTCTTGCGGGCAGCTCTGCCGGCCACGCCCAGGTGATCACTGAACCCCTAACCTGAAGGGTTTGCTGTTACTTTTTCGAGAACACCTACTTTGCAAGGCTGTTGTAAAGAAGCAGGGAGTGAAAAGGACCGGCACAAAGTGCGTGCTCAATCAACAGTAAGATTACTGCTACTCTTTAAGGCACATGTCTAATAAATGACTGAGTCAGAATTCCATGAAGAAGAAGATGTGCTACTTTCTGTTCGATGAAGCTTACGGTGTACAGTACAAATAAGGACCGTGGTGAGTTGAACGGGTGCGAGTCTGACAGGCCTACGGTGGGGGGAGGGAAAGCCATGGTGAACAGGCATGACCAGGGGAGAGCTCGTGCAATATGGTGGAAGATGAATAAATGGTGAATCAGCACCAGGGGCCACACTGCCCTCCCTTGGGGCGATGGTCATGAGTGGGTAGTGTGTCACTGTCACAGTGTCTAGGGGGCAATTCCAGCATTTCGTTTGTAGAGGCCAGAGCCTATATCCCGCAAGATTCCTGGCATCCTATGGGGTGAGCTGTCCTACCCTAAATACCAGCAGCTCCCTGACAACAAACACGGGATGCAGTGACAGGTGAGGGGCAAGGCTGCAAAGACTCAGAGGAGATGAGCACAGAGTTTGGCATGGGGAGTAAAGGGGAGGCTCTGCAAGGACAGAGCCTCACTTACCTACTTTTCTTCAGAGCAAAAGGAAGGGCTTGTTGAGCTAGAGAAGTAAGCGTTCCTTTGGCCTGTGGTGAATCACAGAGGTCTGTTCCTGGTACCATTTTGCTTTGTTATTTGCTCCACCTCGCTGGTCAGTTTCCAGCCCGAAGCCCAAGATGCAAGAGGCAGGACGTTCACATGGTTTGTTTTGATTCCTTTCTTCACCTACCTTTCTCCAAAAGTCGACATGGCCCTGAGGAATGGGGTGGGTCCCCGGATTGCTCTTGCTTTACAGTATTGGAAGAGGTGACAAAATGCACATTTGGAAACAGCAGGCCACATGGTGAGGACACACACACACACACACACACACACACACACACACACAAAATAACAAGGAAGCTTTCTGGCTGAAAAGAAAGTGGAGCTTTCTTTCAAATTTACAAGTACTGAATCTGCAGTGTCAAAGCAAGGCAAGTTCTTTGAAATGGGAAGGCCAACCACATTACGCACATGGTGTCACAACTTTTCACCCAGAGAACTATAAAGCAAGCATGCAGATACATACCCAACTTGGGCACTGTCACGATAGGGCAGCACTGAAAATATACTACAGAAGGATCTTCTGCCACTGATAAGGACTATTCTAAAAAATAAAAAAAAAAGAACAAACAACAAACAAACAAACTAAATGCAAAGACTGTTAAATTAAAAAAAAAGAAACAACTGTAGCAATTAAGCATTCATGGAATTCACAGCAATATTTGCACACTCCCGCGCCTCCTCTGACAGATGGTATTCTGTGCTCCTTGCAAAATGCAACCGCAGCGCAGCAGAAGTCCGCCGCCTCTCCTTACCCAAAGGTTAACATGCCAGACGCTGGCGAGGGTCTCTAAGGAGTACACACAAATCCTCTCTAGCGAGAGTTGTCGGCTGTGGGTTGCACAGCAGGATGGACAGACAGAGCCATGAGTCTGGGGCGCCTAGTGCTGCCAACAGTCATTGCACACTGGAACCATCCATTTCTCCTCTGCAGTGAACGATGCAAAAGCAATAGTGCCAGAAACCGTGAGCAAGAGACACTCAGATGCCATTGTGATCGTTGGGGTTTTTTTTTATATGCTGGCAGCATGTTAGGTTCTGAGAATAAATTAAGGGAACAATTACATAATCAGTCTTAGCCTCCATTCCTGCTATAAAGATACTACTGGAAACAGTTCTGCATGATGCTCTTATGCAATCAAAGGCCACTTAAGAAAACATTAAAAAAAAAAAAAAACCTCTCAAAAGTACTTATCCTGGCATATGAAAATAACTTTTGCCAAAGAGAACTGCTGATAAAAAAAAAATGAGAAACAAGTGGAGGAGATTAAAAACCCAACATTCTTTAACACAGTAGCAATACACATCAGATTTTTCTTCAATAATCATGATGATAAAATCAGAGGGAAAAAAAACCTAATACTACTAACTGCATCAAGGTTTGGAGATTGTGACCTTATTTTTACAACTATGATATTAAATTGTCTACCTGCCCAGTATAAAGTTGGGTTCCTTGGCACGGCAAAGCAGGCCCTCTGTCTTCTGGCTCTTTCTGCTTCTCCGGTCTCAACAAACAGGAC